TCCAAACCCAGAGAATTAGGGTTTCATTAAATTGCGTGGACTCGCCGAGTCCAGACGCGAATCCTTGTCCAAATCGCGATCCTACTCGGCGAGTTTGAGCTCCAACTCGCCGAGTCTCCTCACAAAATACCAAAAATATAAGAATAATTAATACCTGGGAATCCGGGCTGTTACAAAATCAGAGCTCGTTGTCCATTTCTTGTTTTTAGTGAGGTGTTGTACCCTACACCCGTAGCTTGGTAGTTACTAGACGGTGGTCATGGGATGGTCGGAGTCTCGGAGGCCGAGGTTTGAGTTTTCTCTATTTAGTCGATTGTTGTAGTGTTCATATTCTTATGTAATTTTTGTTTATGTTCGAAGTTCAGTTGTAATCTTGGATGATCAATTGATGGAATTATCTTATTTAGCTCTGTTTAAATTAATTTCTTGCTATGAATGGATTAATTATCTTTGTCCTCGGTTGTATGTATATTGGAAATTTATGAATGTTGTGTGGGTTTAGATTCTCCTATTTATCAGGATATCAGTGGTAGAGTTCAAGTTAGTCTGGGTATCAAAGGATTGTGAAGCTGTCATATTCTAGAATATTTTAAGTGGGGGAGAGTGGAACCTCACAACATGAAGACCTTGTGCCAAGGATCAGTTCTCAATCAGATTTCTCTAAGTTCAAGACTTTCGTGTAACTGTTGAATCTTCTAATTTCGTGTCAAGATCTTCGTTGGCTGTTGGATTTCCCTTCAATTCGTATTAGTTTTAGTTGTGATAACATCTGTAGGGCATGCATATATGTTATACTCTAGGGTGTTAGAAGCTCAGGTTAAGGGATATGATTAGGGGTTCATTATCTGTTCTTGTTTTATTGGGGCTTGGAGGCCTCAGTCATGGCTCGAAGACCTAGTAGGGTCAGTTAAGTTTTGTTGAGGCCCGAGTGTTGTTGCCAATTAGTGGATCAGGGGTAAGCATGGGTGTTGTTAGTAGATAGCTAATTTGGGTTGTCAGAGCCGAGTAGGTGTGTGGACTAGTTTAGTATATGACCATTTGGATTTCGTTGTGGTCATGCACTTATGTGTGGTATTAATAAGGCAACGCCTGGCCGAGAAGGTTTTGTGCTGATCAAATCTGCGGTTTTTTGTTTAGTTTAGTTGAGGAGAGGGTTGCGTCAGTTTTAGGATATCTAGGTTCTGAGTAAGGAAGAGGGGTGCCTTCCCTTATGATTTAAAGAAGTTTTGCAAAGACAATTTCTTCAGACTGCATGGTATCAACAAAATTTCTAGGCTGGTAGAACTGCCGATAAGTGCGAGTAAGAACCGATTTTGAGGACAAAATCGGTTCTTACTCGCACTGATGGTTAATATATTTGACCCTTGAACTATGTTTTGGGCCGAAGGGTAGAAAGGGAAAAGTTATAGACCAGATTCTTGCATGAAATGCAGATTTTTGTTCAGGAAGTTTTTAGTCTAAGATATATAAGTAATATTTTGGGGCTCTTCAACACCTTTATGTGCATATAAAGAACGCCATAATCAGAGTTAGAACGAAGAATTTATGGTAATTTGAAGGTAGGTTGAAGTTGGGAAGGAGGCTGGTATGCTGGGCGTACGAGAATGGTGAAGTCGTGCATTTAGAAGCGTACACTGATCTTACAAGATCAGAACCTAAACCCTAATTTCAGGGTTTTGAGCTCTATTTAAGCTCCATAACTCCCCAAACCCTTCCATTCTTAGCCTCCACCTCTCCAACATCCTCCCTTGAAACCCCAACCCTAAATTAAGTCGTGTGAGCTAAAGAGTGTGCTTTTGGTACCTTTAAAGGAAGAAGAAGGTTGTGATAGAGCTTGGAAGCTTGAAGCAACTTTGGATCCAGAAGTTCTCATCCCTCATTCATCTCCAAAAGGTATAAAGTTAGAAGATTTATGAATTTTTCCTTAGATCTATTTTAAGGTGTTAAAGTTATGTCCTTTTTGTCCCACAAATTGGTCCATTTGAGTGTGGGTTCTCACAGATCTTGTGAGGTGCATTTATAGGTGTATGTGAGGGTGTTAACTCATAAAAATACAAACTTGGTCTTGTTCCTCCAACATTTTCATTAAGCACTTTATTACTTAAGACCTTTTGTCCAAACCTTTTTTTACATGTTCCTTCTTTGGTTGTGGCTCTAGAGTAGGATTATCTGTTCGAGTGGCTATCTCACCTCTTGTTACATATGGTTACATATTTCATGGAGGTTAGCTGGTAGCGAGATATTGTCTTGTGAGAGGCCTAGTAGGCGGTAATGAGCTGTATGGTTGATGTTTACCTGTATTATGTGTGTACTTGATCCTTGATTTTTTTATATGTCGACATATGGTGGTAGTGGGTTGCGGCGGTCCTGCTTTGTGCTGTAAGTCAAGATACCTAGTGTGGGTCGGCTGTAAGCCGTAGGCACAGAGGCTCAGGAAGAGTATTTGGGTTAAGGCGCTAGGCCAACAAACCCTAGGTATTCCAGCCCGATGGCTGATTGGATCCATTGTATGTTTATCGTAAATGGTATTTTTTGGACATAAACTCATTAAGTTTTGTGCTTACCTAGTTGTTGTTGTTGTTGTTTTTTTTTTTTTTGCAGGCTTTATCGATGAACGTACGAAGGTGAAGCCGGGATTATGCACTAGGGATGTCAAAAACCCCCGTGGGACCCCGATCTAATACGAGACTAAATTTTTTAAAAAAAAAGGAGCGGGAGCGGGAGCAGGGGCAAAATTAAACCCCGCTTATTTTCGGGACCGGAGTCGGGAGTTGGTATTTCCGTCCCATACTCCCGCGGGGGGCCCGGTTGTACATTTATGTAAAAATCATAGATTTAATATAAAATACATATCCAAAATAGATTTTCTAATTTTAGGTGTATATTTTTGGATATGTAAGAATTTTATATTTGTAATACTGGATTTGTCATATTTTATATTTTTAAGATTGTTGGAATTGTCGTTTTGTAATGTTGAATTCGTAATGTTGGATTTTTAATTTTTAGTTTCTAAAAGATTATGTTTTAAACTTTTAAAGTTACTTAAATAGACTTTTTAGCCTAAACCAAAGTAGTTGTTTAGCAAAAAAAAAAACGAATTTTAAGCCTATAAACCAGGAAAACCGGGGGAACGGGGGCGGGACCGGGGGCAATGGAGGTAGCCGGGGGCGGGACCGGGCGCGGGGGCAACAACTGATTTCAGGGGCGGGAGCGGGGGCAACTATTTCCGCTCCCGTTTGATCCCGTTGACATCCCTATTATGCACACTCATCAATAGCATTGAAGATTTCTCGTTTCTTATATTACTCTGAATTTCAATAAATGTATTTTGGTATAAACATTTTTTTAATAATAAATTTAGAATTGAGAAGTTTACTTTAATAAAATCAAATTTTTTTATTATGAAAATGAAACGTATTATGAAAAAATAAAAAACAAATAAGAAAAAATGTTGTAAAAATGAAAAAAAAAAAACAGAAAAGTAAAATAAAAATTAAGTTATCAAAATAAATTGTGAAAGAAAACGAAAAATAAAATAAAATTTAAGATATAAAAACAAATTATGAAATACAAACTATAAAACGAAAGTAAAAGAATCAAACTATAAAAATGAATTGCGGGAAAAAAAATATATAAAACAAATGAGCATAATTTAAAAAGTTTAGTAACTAATTATAACTTCAAAAATGTTTAGAGACCTAAAATACCTTAAAAACTTAGATGCTTTTTGTTTTTTTAAACAAAAATCTATAAAATCTGCGGACCACCTCTATAACCCTCTGCAGTAGAAGATGTAGACCAAACGGTTGCACACTGTAGTAATAAATGTGTTTGTTTTTTTAACATCTGCATGTTGTTGCAGATATTAAAAAATTAAAATAAACTGATTTTATAATCCGAAAATAATTTTTTAATACCGATAATTTAATAATGTATGACATTTCAGCAAAAAATAATGATATTTAAAAAAAAATAAAGATATTTTAGTATAAAATAATGATATTTCATCAACAAATTATTATTATTCAATATAAAAAAATTTTCAACAAAAAAAAATTATGAAATAAAATTTTAACAATATATAATCAATATTTTAGCAAGAAAAAAAAAAGAAGGTATAAAAAACAAAATAAGTGTTGCGTCAAGAAAAGCACGCATAGAGATTTTTTAATTCAAAAACTTCTGAAAAACAAACAACTGCGAGATGAAAAGTATTGCGCAGTAGAAGTTTGAAGATATTTTTTTCCAAAAAACAAAAAACACTTTAGTAACCTTACATATCCAATATATATATATATATATATATATATATATATATATATATATATATATATATATATATATATAACTTGTTATTTTCGATCATAATAATCATTTTAACAAAAAAATAAAAATAAAATGACATTTTAAAATTTAAAACGTATTAAATAACCAAATAGAAATAAAACCAAATATTAAATAGTCAAATATAACCTAAACTTTAAAAAATAAAAATAAATAACATTTATAATCATCATATATAAAAATATGTCAATCAAAAAGTTTCTTTCATTATAATAATAGCGGTATATAATTTTTTTTCGTTAGACATTTGATTAGGAATATATTTAGACGTAATAAATAAGATAAAATAAAGTGAATGGGACTTTTAAGATAATTCAAAAGAAGTAAAGAAAAGAAAAAGGTGTTTTAGACATGAAAGTACGATATTATCCGGGAAAGAACCACTATCTTTCTGCCAGATCTTTTTCAATACATCTAAAAAGTCTTCGAGTGCACCAAACCTTGTATACAACCTAAAGAATCCAGTGTGCCAACGTATCAAGGCCACAACATATTTGTGGCTCAAAAACCTTCTCACATGCTGATGTGGCATCCACCTTTCTCCCACAACCCCCTATATTTTTCAAACCTATTCCTACCAATACTTCTGCCACTTCCCCACTTAGATTTTTACACTCAACATCTACCTTTCTCCACCGCCGCCAACCACCACCCTCATGACGGATCCCGGTATCATACTGTTTGGGAAAAAGATCGGGTCTTTGGAAACCCCCAAGATTTCCGATTCTCCCCACTTCGCCGTCGCTAATAGTGGTGATAATGGTTTTCCGACGGACGACAGTCCCAAAACTCCTTCTATCGATGAAGACGATTCGCCGGAGAAACACCAAACCACCGGAGGTCTAAAGAAGCCTGACAAGATTCTCCCTTGTCCTCGATGCGAAAGCATGAACACGAAGTTTTGTTATTACAACAACTCGAACGTTAACCAGCCACGCCATTTTTGCAAGAGTTGTCAGAGGTACTGGACTGCCGGAGGCACGATGAGGAATATGCCGGTCGGAGCAGGTCGCCGGAAGAAAAAGAACACTTCATCGGATTGTCGTTTTATTATCTCTCACGAAGCTTTTGATGTGGGGCCTCAGATTGAATTCGCTGCTGAGAATTCCGACGGAGTTTACAATACTTCACGTCAACCAAAAGTTCTTTCCTTTACTCCGAATTCGCCGATATGTAGAGGGAAAGAAAGCGGAGACGATTGTTCTAGTGGAACAACCACCGTCGTTTCTTCCAATTCCGTTGTTGAGAAACCACAGGAGAATAACGGGTTCCATTCTCAAGTTCATTGGATTCCAGGGACTCCATGGTCGTATAATCCATGGGTTCCAATGCAGATTCCGACGGGATACCCTCCGATTCCATTCTACCCTCCGCCGTACTGGAATTCCGTTTCCTGGTTACCTCCGGCGACCTCTGCTCCAAACTATTCAATCCTAGGAAAACATTCATCAGATCGGGAATCAATTAACCCAATCGAGGAACCGAAGAAACAGAAGAATTCGATTCTAATCCCGAAAACGCTTAGAATCGATGATCCCGATGAAGCTGCGAAGAGTTCTATATGGGCAACACTCGGAATCAAGAACGAAAACTGTAGCAGACGAGATCTCTTCAAAGGGTTTCAAGCAAAAGGAAATGAAAAGAAGAAACAACCGATCACAGAACCTTCGTTATTATTACAAGCAAATCCTGCTGCGTTTTCAAGATCGCTTTACTTTCAGGAAAGAGCCTAACGTGATTTGTGTGAATACAATGTTAAAAATCAGTATAATAGGAGGGAATAGCAATAGGGTTAATTTGTTTTCTATATATAGTTTTAGTCTTTTAGATGTTCAGATTTTTGTAAATCTTTTCTTGAACTTTGAATCATAATCAAACAGGATGAACATTTCTATACAAGATAACTGTTAAAGTGTTAAGTGTTAATCACTAAGAAAGCATCAACGAGCAGTACTGTACAACCCATTGATGCATACAACCATCACTTTAGAGTGCACCTAACTATATGATATATCTTTATATCTAATAATCTTGGTAATCTGGGTGGATATATCAAAATCAGAAGAAAAGTATAAAAAAGATCGAAGATATTTTCACTTCATCAAGAAATTGAGGCCACATTTTGGGTGTAAAATTGAGTTGTTTTGTGGTCCCAAAATGGCATATATATGTATATCTATATATCTTTTGTAATGGGTATTTTCTTCCTTTTGCTTTCTTGTTTTATAAAGTAGTGGTGGAACTATGGTGGCCCAGATTTGTTTATATTGGTAATTTATATAATATTAAGTTTTGTATGATTTATAAAATCGAATCAATGGCTCTCAAATCAATCGATCAAGGCCACACATTTGGTAAAATTATCTGACAAGTTTGAGAATATCCAGCTATTCTTATTTAATTATATCATGTGGGTATGTATATCTCAATTGGAAAAGGAAGTTCATGGCGTATTATGGAGATATATATATATATATATATATATATATATATATATATATATATATATATATATATATATATATATATATATATATATATATATATATATATATATATATATAACAAGTAGTATAAATAAGGAAAGTGACAGCTTTGATGAAAGTATCTTATTATACATACAACCTTTTTTACATCGTTACAAACGTAAAAATCCTAGAATGGTAATAATTGTCAGGTGAATTTAAGATAATGAAATTAATCGTCTAATGGACAGATCCACATGTGACATGTGTCATGTTTCCAGCCTAACGTTGTACGACAATTTCCTGAAATGATGCATGCATGTAGTTGTAAGATGTATTTTAGTGTATGGACATTTGTTACGACTTATGAGGGGCTATGTTGAGCTTTCATCGAATTTGATGGTAATATGATGTATTTGGTGAATTCCATGGGTGCTTGGAAGTCCTCCATATTGTGGTGATTAAGTCATCTAAAGCAAGACATGGATTTAATATTCTTAAAATGTTGCATATTTATCAAGTTTTATACATGAAACATTGAAATGTTGTTGGTAGGACATTTAGTTGCATGACATGGAGTTAATTATCAAAACGCTGTATATTTATCAACCAGTTCGGAAATCCCAATGGGTTGTGGGTCTTGGTGTTCACGTCTTATTATTATACATGTTTGAAAAGTATAATAACTTGTGACAGATAACAAAGCATAATATATAACGGAAGTCAAGTCCCTTTTTACTATTTCTCAAAAGTTAGACATAAGTTTCGGATGGGTTACGAAAGCATACACAAGCCATACGGAAAACATTTATAGTTTAGTCTACAAAAGAAACTACAACCACGTTTTTCAATAAACTAGTCCCGTAAAGTAATGGTCTTCTAAATGTCTCAAAGTCACAAAGTTACAAGGTGGGCTAGCCCATTTAACTAACAATGTCTCTAACAAGGACTAGGCATATATCAACTGCCATTCTAAGAAAAAGATTTAAAAAAAATATCTCAAAAGTCAAATCTACTAAACTAAGTTGTTATCGCTTCTTATGGTACCTATCTCGACTACATGTCATAAAAATGAAAATAAGTAACACATAAAGTCTTGTGATATATATATATATATATATATATATATATATATATATATATATATATATATATATATATATATATATATATATATATATATATATATATATATATATATATATATATATATAGACACAAAACACATATTTTTCTTTAAAAACAATTTCCAATATAGTTAACTTCAAATATTTTAACGCTTTCATGAGTCTAGTAAACTAAGTCATTATGGCTTCTCACGGTACCAATCTCTAGTACATATTGTAACACCGTGATTCTAGGATAGGTATTAATAATGATGTAATAGTCTAGGTCAACCTTTCTAATTTTTTTTGAAATAATAAAGTTGTATTATTTTAGTATTATGTGCTTATACTTAATTATTGTGATTTAATAAATTAATGATAAAATAAGCATCAGAAATAAATAATAGATAAACCCGATATCTATGAAGATAGTTATAGTGGTTGAAACAAGGATTTCGAAGATATAAAGAATACTGAAATCCGAGTTATAACGATTAAGTTATGACCTCACGAAGTTTCGCGGCAGAACTGACACGAAGCTGTATGACGTAAAAAGTGAATTTATGGTAAAATGCTTTTTAGCCTTAGCAATCTAAATGAAAGTCGTAGTATATGTTAAACCGAGAACGTGCATAAAAAAATATCCAAATCTGACTTCGTATGAGAAAGTTATGAATTTTCTAAGATTTGGTATAGGAGTATGCAGCCCGAAACTCGAATATTAGATTGAGCGATTTTTAGCCAACACAACCTAAACGAGAATCAAAGATCTTGTCGAATGTAGTTTAACGATAAAAAGACAGACGAAAAGGGATGTGGATGAAGAAATTATGAATTTTTAACGGGCTTTTCCTGTTCCGGTCTGTTAAAATATAACTTTAAAAATAAAGTCAGAACTAGCCAACGGAGTCTAAAAGAAAGTTGTAGAGCATAATTTCACCTGCATGTGGATATAAAGAACATTAAAAACGGAGCACGTATGTGAAAGATATGAATTTTTGAAGTTCAGACACAAACGTCGAGGCTAAAAGAACGCCCAACGTACCAAGTGGTACGCTTAGTGTATAAATATGTACGCTCAACATACGAGATATGTACACTCAACGTACTTTTGTGTTCACGGTCCGAGATTGGCCATGTAGCATTCTCCATTGCATGGTGGATATGTGTTTGTAGCCTTGACGCATCCGACACAATCCCTTAGTACGCCCAACGTACTCAATGTACGACCAGCATACTAGTTGAAGAAGCATTAGTACGCCCAACGTACTGGTTGAAGAAGCAGTACGCCCCGCGTACCATAGAAGCATAACTCGAGTATTCAGCCACTATAAATAGTGAGAGAGACCATCCGACTTTTGTTTACAAAAATTACTTCCTCTCACCCTGTACTTTCCTTTTAGTTACACTAAATACCCTAAACCTTAAATACTATCCTAGCATCATAAGCAAGTCCCGAAGAGCCAGAAGATCCTGAGAAAAAGAGTTTTTGGGTCGAAACTCTGCCTACGTGAAGCCCGTTTTTGAGAAAACATCTCGGTTTTATCGGAAACGATCGTTCTAAGGGACGAAGTGCTACCCTATTATCGTCAAATCATGTGAGTGTGTAGTCACTTTCATCTTACACATAGATATGAAGTATTTTCTATAAAATACGTGTTATGTGTATAAATATTGTTTGTTTATTTAAGATGGATTTTGAATGAAGTTTTTATACATGTTTAGAATGATTTAAACTGTATATGTATTTTTATCTACAAATATGTTGGGTATTGTAACATTCCAAAAATACAGGCCAAAATTTTCATTTTTAATACGTTATTATAAAACCAACAGTATAAGAAAACATTCATAATATCATGTCATGTCAAAATCAAAGTAGAAATAATCAAAACATGTTATCATAAAACAATATCAGAGTGTAATCCCAAATATCTCATGTGCGGTAAACCATAGTGTGATGTGCTGTGATCAAGCCGGCTCGTTTTCTTTGAAAACGAAGTTCCTAAAACCAAAACTAAAAACTGTAAGCACAAAGCTTAGTGAGTTCCCCCATCGTACCACATATCATACAATCACATAGCATACATACCGCCGAACAATTTTGGGGTGCCCGACCTACCCATGTCAAGCCATTCTGGGGTGCTGACTACCTGTGTCAAGCCATTCTGGGGTGCTTACTACCCGTGTCAGGCCCTTCTCGGGTGCCTGCCTACCCTCTGGTCTATCTCACCTGGTCATGGGAACTATTTCACCCCCCAGTAGTATCACATAATAACATAACATAAATATGTTTCCAGACATATCTAGGGTGTCCTACCTACCCTTCGGTCCTAACAACCGATCGAGGGACTATTCCCCTCCTACTACCACTATCACATAGAACATAATATACTGGAACATAGAACACATCAAGTAATAGCAAACCAAAAAATTATCACAAAGACAATCATCGCAACTACAATCAACTACTAGTGGGTCGGCCTTGGTGCCTTAGAACCACTTCTACTGGAAGGTAACTCACCTCACATTGCTGAAGTCCCACAGACATAACCACCAGCTGTTGGAGGACAGATTCCCGAACTGTCAATATCAAAACATCACCCAATTAATAATTTGGTTCCAACACATAACCATAAATACATACTTGGGGGTAAATACTACTTTACCCCTAACTTAGCTTTTTTCAAGCCCAAGGCCCAAACCAAAGGCTTAAAAGTCAACTATGATTCAAAGCCCAACATATGGCCTAATTTTCCAAATTAGGCCCAAATATTTACAATGTTTTACCATAAGTCCCAATCATTTAGTCCAGTCCATACACTTGGCATTTCAATGGCCCAATGTCTCATAATCATCTAGGCCCATACTATGGTTTGTCTATGGCCTAATTTTCCAAATTTGGCCCAACCCCTCATATGGGCCTTACCCTAAAGCCCATCTAATTGTTCTGGTCCATTGACTAACCTTGGATGGCCCATTATTGGCCCAAACACCAAAACCCAATAGAAAGGCCCAACACAAAGCCCACGTGAAACTAGGGTTTCACATAAAATGACAATTAGGGTTTGGTGTTTCTCACTTAACCCATTAAGGACTTAATCCATTAAGGGGGTGTTTGGATTAGCTTTTTAGAGGCCAAAAGTTCTTTTTGGAAAAGTT